CAACAACCGGAGTCGGAAAGATCGACAGCCAATAATCGGTTAACAACAATCGATCGTTTTGATAACGCTTCACGAGGGCATTGTAAGCTATACTATAATTGGCATCCTTAATTGGCAAATTCTTCACGACACTGAGAGCATCCTTTTCCAAATAAGACACTAAAAATTGAAATTTTTCAATGTTTGAAAGGGAAGAATTATTATGGATCAACGTGTTAAACATATCAAAAAATGTAGGCCAATTTTTCAAATCGCCATCAAATTTCGGAATGATAATACGGGGGAGTCGGAGATTACTATTTCTTTGCGACTCTCGACCAACTACAGATGGTACCGGAGAGCCTGCCTTAGGTTCCACTTTCTCAAATAATCGCTTGGCAATAGATCGAATTGAATAATGCAACTGATCAAAGTGATCTTGAACCGCAAACTGTCGATCTCTTTCCGAATCATTCGCTAAGGAGATTACTTCCAATTGCAAGGACTCAAAAGTGCTAACTAAACTCGGCAAATCCTCCACCATGCACTGGAATTTGCATAAAATTTCATCATCATCGGGTTCAACGCGAGCTTTCTGACCCGCTGACAATATATCGTTAACGCGTCTAAGTGTTACCCACGTAAATTAAAAGGAAGAAGAATTTGAGCACGCAGAAAATATGCTTAGAACGAATCAAATAAAAAGACGGCCGCAATTCGAAACGACGGTAAACACTTTTTATGAAACCGCTTTTTTGCGCTCCAAACTTTACACGTTTTTTGCTAACCTGTTCACGATAGCGAACATGTATTTAAAATTACTAAAGTTTGTGAATGACTATAAAAATCCAAAAGACTGATTCTGATTTGGGGAGAAGGACCAATATGTAAAGGGTTGTGGGAAGGTGGTTGTAAATCACCCTCAAAATTTAAACGAGAAAGAGCTGCAAGAAAACGGTAGGACATACAACACCCGAAACGGTTAATCACCCACCTTGATGGTTTCCCGCGTCGTCGTCTGCCCGGCCGGGTCTTCTTAGGGGTATTTTCTGGAGGGTTGGGGGTGGTATTTACCACAACACAGCGCGGGGTTCTCGCGAACCGGTCACAAAAGAGAGCTTGTTTTTTCGTGGTTCGCACTACGGACGCTCACGTAAGTCTATCTTTTCGCGCGGCTTAACCAAGGTTGGGTATGGTGGGGGTGTTGTATACACAGCGCGAAAATAAAAAGTTAACCCAAAACAAAAAAATTATGAAGTTACCGAAAAATGTTATTTAACCCTTAACACCTATATACCTGAGAAAAGTGTGATGGTGGTGCAGTCACTTATCCCTTCTCGTTTATAAAGAAACGCTTTTTAATGAAATCGGCAAGTGGTTTTTTAAAAAGTTCAAATAAATTTGTGCATTCCATTACAAAACACCATATGTAATCGTCGAGTAAGGAAAACAGTCTTTCCCTACTTTTTACATTTTTAAAACTACAGAAAATTACAAGAGGATGCCGAGTGCATCTCGATCGATAACCAAAGCAATAATAATGACCAGATTCTAAAAATGCCCTTCTCCCAATATTCTCTGCTATCATGAAACACATTAATATAATCTCCAGCCTCAGAATAATATATCCTTCTATGGAACGAAAAATTGCAAGGAAGAACCCATCTCTTAAGCGTTACAAATTAAATGAATAAATAAAGTTCCTTGTTGCCGTGTCTGCTATTTAAAATTAGGGAAATGCTCACATATGTAACCAGTGTTCAAAGTACACCGACAATGTCAAATTTAAGCGACTCCTACTATTAAAAATAAATAGTGCATTTGTTCAGGTATACGGATAAAATGTTTGAGACCAGGGGTCAATAACCGCTAAATCTCTTCGCCTACACTTTCAAATGCCTTCCAGAAATTGTCATTTCAGAGGCAACGTACCATTAAAAAGTTAACTACCTACCCTTGTGTTAGATTAGAATTAATTAAAGGGTTCCCTACACCTTTTTAAATGTATAGTTATCTAAATTAGTTTAAATTAATAAACTTTGTACTTTTTTGAGTTCCTGAAAATTAATTAGAAATCATTTGTTATAATAATAATATTCAAGTTATTAAAACAAAAAGCTTGTTCTTCACGTATCATAAAGTATAATAAGATATTTTATCCAAAAATCCAAAAGTACAATTATATGCCGGAGGTTCCATTTTTTGAAATTGCATCTTTAATGCCTTTAGTACTTATAACAATATTTTTTATATAAAGTACATAGAAGTTTGATCTATCGGAGTACATTTGCACACTAGAAGGAGGAGCCCATTTCAACAGTTTCACAAAAGACGTTCGGCCCTTTCGAAGTTATCGACATTTTTTCTCGAAAATACCCCCCACCACTTTCTCTTAATTTTAGCTATCCGTAATGTAAGCTGGTTTCTCAAAAAACTGGATTCAAAGTTTATAAATCTCAATATGCTCCCCAGGGTATACAGTTTTCATTTTATCCACAACAAGTAAGGACAAAGCGATTTATAAATAAATATACAGTAATATAAGATAATTGTACAGTGGACATCATAATTTTTTCTCGATCATTTCTTGTAGAAAATAAACAATTGTCAGGGTCTATACCAAGTTCCTTTTTTAAATGGAATAAAGAAATAAAATAATAAAAAACAGATATTTGAACTTGAACTGAACAGTTAAGAAATTAGTACCAGTAAAGTTCGTAGATTGATACAATCACATTTCTATCGGTAATGAAAGTGCATATCATTTTTCAAAGAAACTTCCACGGGCTGCTGTAATACTAATTACAAATCAGATTTACAAAGTTGATGAATCAAACTTGCTTTCAAACTAGATTTCATTAAACTGTTAGTTTGTGAAGAAGCCAACAACCGCCAAAATTGTAAATAGTAAACTAAATATAGCGCATCTAAATGAATCCTAGTGATGTGATACTTCATTTTTTATTGGATTTGGAGAACCAAAACTCAGAAGAAGCTTATAGATTGTTTAACGCATAATATCCAGAAGGCTCATTACAAATTTCGCTTTGAGTAAAATTGGGAAAAAACTAGAAATTGAGGAAAATCCCCTCATTGCATCTTCAAATAATGTTAGTCAACGAAGAGCTTTGCGTATATCAAAATATGAAGTACATCACCCGTTCAAGATTAGATTACTACAGGAACTGACCTAACATGATCCTCTCCCCAGATTACAGTTTTGTGAAACTATGATGTAAATGACTAACTCAAATCCATTTTTCCATCGTCGTTAGTGGGTGAAATTAGCCTGATGTGAGAAATAGACATATTTGGTTTCAACAGGATGGTGCTCCGTCCCATTTTGCTCGACAGGTGCGTGAATATACGGACAGTGGATTGACAGAAAGGGGTGAATGGAATGGCCTGCAATATCTCCAGATATTACTCCACTGGATTTTTTCCTTTGGGGGTATTTAAATTAAAAAATATATAGGGAAAAACCAAAAAATTGACAATGTAGAATTTGAAATAAAAAAATGTAAATTAATGAAAATATCCTTAGCAATATTTAGACACGGTTTCTAAACTGACTAGTATATTGTCCAGAAGTTAATGGTGTGCATTCTCAACATCTAATAAATTATTTTCTTTCACTTGCTCTGTTTCTATAATTTTTCTCTCAATTTTAATCACTGTAGATGCTTTAGTTCGTCTTTCTCTTTATTTTGCGCTAAACAAATTACAAACTTATTCTTGGGTTCTCCCTTTGTCTCTATATTTATACGTTTCAATTGTCTAATGATCAGATAATCGGAAAGAGGGATCAAAAAAGTATGTTTACTCGACTTTTCCACAAAAATTCTTTCCTTTTTCGTATTTATTGGACAGATTTTCTTCTCTTCTGAAAATTCTTCGTATTATCACTTATGACTGAAATTGAATTACAAAATTTACTCCATCGTTGACTCTGTTTATGTTAAAAACTAGCACTCACATGAAATTAAACTGAACCAAGAACTTAATGACAACGACAATGACATTACCTTGTATTGGAAACGTTCTACACTGTATATTTGAAAACGTTTTTTCCTGATTTAGACTCCTGCGAAGTGTCTAACTTTGGTTTAGGATCGACTACACGCGCTTAACATTTATTGTTGTTTATTTGATTATAAATATTAACAGTCAGCAATTGCACATAATAATTTTTGTCCTTTTGTGTATTTTCTGTAGAACTCAAGTTCAATTCTAGCTGGCTTACAAAAGTTACAACTTTCATTTTAAACATTGCTAATAGTCTCTGAGGGGCGCTTACATTCAATCTGATTGTAAATTTACCCAAGGGGAATATATTGAAATGCTTGGAACAATATTGGCTTATGCCAAATTCGAATCAATAGGGATTTTATTTGATTTATCAACGCTTTGTGTAAAATGGAAGACCGCAATCTTCCCAAAATATAATCGCGATAATAAATAAATGAACATATAAAAATAGTATTATTTTGTTGTATTTTTTCTAGTAGTCAGTATTATCTTGTTGTGACTTAACCTTTTGATTTATCTATGCAAAAGTGTCTATTTCTTCTGCAGTAGATAATAACCATTACCAAAAGTGGGTATAGTTAGTATAGTTCATTTCTACCGACAGATGGATATGAAAGAGACATTTTGGACTTCCGTTGTCTGTATTATTAAAGTCCACAATTTTCTACTGTTATCTCAGTTACCTACAGCCCTTTTAAGTTTCGGAACCGGCTATCACAGTTTCAGAAACGCCTCACAGACCAAGTCAAGGATTTCAACTAACAAATTAGATCCATTCAAGAGCCAAATCAGCTTCAATTGTTTCAGAAAAGTCTCAGTTGAATCGTTGTGTATGTAAATAAATGCAATGTAGGTCAAAAATATATCATTTCATGAACTTTTATCATTGACTACGACGTTCGAAGGGGGGTAGTTTAGACATAGTTATTATTTCTCGGTTCCAGTAATATAAACATTGTTATCTTTTGATTTCTGAAATTCTGTTTTACCAGGTGGTTTTTGCTATATATGGCTACTCGCCCCGACCTGCAACAGAAAGCTAGAGATGAGATATCAACAGTCTTAGGAGACAGCCTTCTGAGTTGTGAATGTCAATCCAAGCTGCCATTTGTCGAGGCGTGTATCGCTGAGACCCAAAGGATAAGATCTGTAGTTCCTTTAGGTAACCAGATGATAAAGCCGTCGCGGCACCGTTTAAATCTAATTGTTTTAAGGCATTCCTCATGGCACTGTATCCGATATAGAAATAGATGGTTACCGAATACCCAAGGGAACAATGTTGGTACCCTTACAATGGGCGATACACATGAACGATGTGGAATATAAGAATTCCAATGAATTTAATCCTTACAATTTTTATAAAGACGGCGTCTTTTTGAAACGGGACAATTTTATACCTTTCCAAAATGGTGAGTGCGGCGTACATTTGGTGACATCAGGGAGAATGTTAAAATATTTAAATGTAATTTTTGAATATTGAAAACGGAAGTCAAAACAGGCTATTTTAGTGAAATTCCTAAAGCAATATTATTCCTGTGTCATGGTATTATGAAATGGTAGTATGAAATTAGAATTTTTTCAATTTTCAAAAGTTCACTTCCGACTCTGGTCCAATGTGTTGTGCTGAATGTTGCAAAACGTTTTTTCTTTAGTTTTATGTACATTCAAAATGCTGTACAATAAAAATTTTGCCACCCTTCGTTTATGCTGTCATGGATGTCGAACCTAATCTCGTCCATATAATATTATGCACCATATTCTTTTCATTTGTATTGCAAGATTCAAGTGACGGAATTTGATTACTCTCATATAACGCATACACTTCTAAGAATATTATTGTTCCCTTCTCATATCATTCCTTCCTTTGAAACGAATCATTATCAAGGAATCGACGCAAAGTTGACTTTGGAATGTCAGTTAATTCCACTGTCTTCCCAATGGCAGCAAACAGTATGTGCATTTGTCCGAAAATAAAGATAATAGAGATAAAATTTTGGCTTCATATACTGGTAAAAGGATTCTCTTGCAGCACGTATTGAAATGACACTTTCCTTTTGGTTCTCTCCTCCATTCCGCCGTCGAAATTTTCTTTAGACTACGGTCTGAACATAACAATTAATGACTGAAGCAGCACTAATGGTATAGCACATTTTTTTTTAAATTTCTATGATCTCGACATTACCGATATGAAAATATCTCCCTGTACTGTACTATTGTAAGTTGTTTTTTTATTGATTTATTGAGGGTAAAAATTAATAATTTGAAAACGAAATTCGCACAACAACTAAACATTAACAAAACACATTAACAAAAAATAAATAGAGAGTTCTTCCCTTTACTATATGGAATATTGCTGCCAGGAGTTAATCTATAGTAGATTTCGATGCACTTTCAGTTATTTTTAAAAATTAATACCACAATTGATAATTTTTTCTGTGCACTTTTTGGGACAAGATCCTCCGATTATTTAATAGTGTTATGTTTTCGTTAAAGTAGTTGACAAGTTGACTGTACAGTACAGAATTTATGTATATCCATAATATACTAAAAAACAATGGAAGAAAACCAAAAAGCGAGTAAAATAAACCTAACGAGACTAAGTAACTTCCGTTCAGGTTAAACTTATTAAACAAATTAACACACAAAAAAACGAAAAAAAGGGAGCCGTCGGGGTTTTTTTGAGGTTATGTTCTGAATGCCCCACATGCCTCCATCTGAGGGCGAAGCACTACCATCGGGGCCTCACTCCGGGGACGGATCGCCTACAGCAAGTATGTTGGTCCCGCAGGATTCGAGGGGCTATAGTAAATTTTTGAGGTTATGTTGCTGCACAACCTCTTTTGTTTATCTACTCAATGAATCAAATGATTTTAATAAAATCTCGCAACCTCTTCTTATTTCACTAAAACAGTTGCAACACAAGTGTTTAACGTCATCAAAATTTCAACTTGATTCTTTATACAGTTAGTTTTGGAGAAATGAGTACGACGTTGTGTTTTAGGTAAGAGGATGTGCGTAGGAGACGAACTGGCGAGGATGATGTTGTTTTTATTTTGTTCGGTTACTTTGATCAGCTTCAAGTTGGGGCTGGACGACAAAGGAGAGCCTAACTTGGAAGGCGAATGTGGCATTACTCTTACACCCAAATCGTATCGGCTGAAATTTATTTCGATATAGTCACAAAAATGTATAACTTAACCATCAACTTCCTGTATTTTTTTTCAAAAAAGTTATTTTGGAATATTATTTTATAAATAGTCTTTGTGATCATTACAGCATTTTTCAAATAAACATTCTCCAGAAAACAGTTTAGTTTATTTTATTTAAACCTTAAATTTAGAGCCATATAATTTTTTCAAAGTTAACTCAACTTCTGCTGTTATACATTTAGGCTGATTTCCTGAAGACATCCAGTTTTCTTATCCTTGTCAATGATGACAAGCTATTGCTATGCGCTGCTCTATCCGTATTTATAGGCCTGTCGCAGTACAGTGCCTCTCTAGCTGTTTCTAGAACTGCCTAGGGCTGGTATTTGTAGCTAGAGAGCTAGCTGTTGGTAAAGTATTTTATCTCATTGATTGTGACGCCCTACGTATGCGTTCGTTGCGAGCGATTTATAGCCTGCGATGATATACTCTGTAGATTCCGTCATTTCCTACATCTATCTTCGACTTACAGCTTTAGGCAATGTTTTTCCTAGTGTGTTTGTCTTGGATGGCTATGAGAAATTTCTCCGTTTATGGATAGAGCCAACCCGCCTATAGCATTAACAGTGAGCTCGCCGATGTTGTTGTCGGCTTCTAGACATCTTGGAAACCTACCATATAAAACTTCTTCCCTTCTGATGGCATGATCTTCTCAAGATCATGTGGTTGCAAGTTCAATGGTGTAAGCCTTGGTTTTATTGGGCTGCTAATCTAATCAACGAATCTTCAGATGTAAGTAGTTGTTGCCGCATGTTTCTCTTTTGGGTTCTGCATAGCCTGAAGGTGGTGAACTATCAAGTTCATTTAGGCATCAGACTATTTCAGGATACCAAATATTAGGAGAGACACTACCCAGGTGTTTAAAGCGGTGATATGGTTTTTTGCTGAGAGCTTTATTATTATTATTAACACCTTTCTTGCTATAAATCCGCACTTACAAAATATATATACATATACATATAGATGAAAAATGCAACACATGATCTGGTTACTGTTCAGGCCTTGATTCAGATAGATCCTTTCAAAGTTGCAGTGACAAGTTATCACACTACATACTACACGTAGCTTTAAGTGAATTTAAAAAAATGTTGACAGTTAAAGTTTAATAACAATGACAAAAAACCAAAGAAATAGAGGGACCTTAATATTTTGGATCAAAAGATGGACTCACTGTGACCGATTAGACAAAAAATAATAAACCATATTGCAAGCGCTTTCGCTTACCAGACAACTATGAAAAAAAATTGAGAAGTCAACATTCAACGCTTGCGATTTCTGTCGTCGTTACTCTATGCTTTTCTGTCGTCTACCATTCTCATCTCCATTGAAACGGACAATTTTGTTAGGGCTTGAAAACGAACAGGCGAGCGCCCTCTTTTACGTGTCCCCTAAACTTTACTTTACTAAAATTTTCAATACAGTCACGTCTTACCAAGTGGTGAAAAAATTTTAGTATTCTCCTCTGTACAGTTGGTAGTAGTCTTCGTCAATTTTCAGTTCTGTAGAATGTAGAAGAAGGCTGATCTAAATTAAGTTTTCATTATTGGTAGCTTTGTTGTGAGTAGAGATACAAAGTCGGTTTAATTAGAAAACTAGTAGCATTTCTTCCACTGATAATGACGGTGAAAATAGAAAAACAATTGAATGTAGGGTTTAGGAAAAAATGAGGAAATGTACTCTTTTTGGAAGTCCCTTTATATTTTTTACTCCAACGTTCGCAAATTACAAACAGAACAGAAAATATCATATTCAATATTAGCACAAAATTGAAAATAACCGAAATATCAACACAATTCTCTTTTAGCATAGTGATTGCGAATTAAAACTTCATTTTCCGTTTTTTTTTATTGAGCTAATTGGTATTACTCTAGCATCTATCTGTTTTATTTTTTCTCTAATTGCAACCTTTGAAACGTCAATGTGTTGGTATCTTCGCTTGTAAATGTCGTCCTTTAAATAATACCACAAGTAGAAATTAAGTTACATCTGGTCACCTGGGAGGTCAAGGAACAGCCCATTTGCAGCAATCTATTTGTTTGTTGAAAATGGTTTTCAAAAATTGATATGCGACTTCTCGGATGTTATGGTGCGCCATCTTGTTCGAAATAGAAATTCTGCCTACTTATCTAACTACTTATCTGGAAAACCATCCACAATTTCTCACCGGTCAGCACGCGATCGTAAAAATATGAACCATGTAATGGTTCAAAGAAAAAAAAAGTGTAGTGGCAACAGTGCGCTGTCGTGAGATTGCCTTTGGAGCCGGGGAAGGGGGGGGGGGGGGGAGACAGCCACGGGAGATGTGCATCGAATAGTTTCCAGTTTTTGACGCGGATTGTATTAATGTAAATGCCAAGTTTGAAAATAAATGCTATTCTCAAAACCGTCTTCTCCCATGTTTTGGCCCCTGATTCATTTCAATGACCAATACGAAGATGAATTATTCCGCATCAAACGTTAAAGCTGAAACTAAATTATGGACCTGGGGCAAGTACTAGCAATAAATTTTCTTTTTAAAAATAATGATAATTTTTTGTATTATACATTCCAGAGTTTGAAAATTTTAGTTCGTCAGTCCACAAAATTTAGCAACAATTATCATTGTTTTGGCGGCCACAGTTAACATACCAATGACAAAAAAAGTCTTCTCTCTGTGTCCCCTGCCAAAAGCACCTGAGCTGGTCGGAATTTATAAGAGCAAAATTTGTGCTTTTTTTTAACACTTAAGTAGTGAAGGATAGGTTATAGTCTATGTCTCGAATAGAATTGTCACGATAGGCCTCAAAATATCCAAGAACACCAATTTTCATGTCTTCGCTTATTTCTAAAGATTCGCAGAAAAAATTGTACATATGGTGGAACGTGCTGTGGATATTGCTTTATGTATCATTCTCTTGCCTTACAGAAGATTTACTGTATGAATTACGTTTTTTAGTCGTTATACTTGGTTTTTAAAAAACGTTTATTGAGCTTAGGTTCCTTGTCTTAATACAGGAACTTTAGTAACACTAATGCTAGTTAGGCAGAGCGCCGAACGGTTTTATACAAAAATAGGTTATAGATTAGAGTAATAAATACGTCATTAGAAAGTCAATGTTTGCTTGTCGGTTGGCGTTGTCTGGGGCGATATCTTTTAACATAGTGGAGTCCTCAAGGTACTAACTGTAGCAAGCAGGAGGATCGTCGTATTGATCCATGGATAGTTCGTGCTTTGGTTGTAGTCTGTGACTTGCGTGTTGTTTGCAATATCATTTATATGTTTGCTGGACGTATTCTAAGTGTGTTGTCTGCTTTGCTTGGAAATATTTGCCGTCGACAGAAATTTTGCATTTTTGGAGGGACGAAATGCATAGATGCCTTTCATGTCACTGTATCGTTGTTACAGTGGCTGGTATTATCAGGACTTCCTTCGAACTGATCCAGGTCACCGTAGTTTCTGCGAAATATACTTTCGTCGCTGGGCATGACTTTTTGCCTATTGTCATGATATCGGCCACGCATAGTTGATGTTTATTTAAGTTTTCTTGTGAACAGAAATGTCGGTCTTCAACTGGTGGGCATTTTTGCGTGGTTCGGTGCTAAGCAAAAGGTACGGTTGAACTTAGGTGAGATTTACTTGATGAAAATCTATTTATCAAAATAAATAAGAACTGAAAGTTCAGATTTTCAAGAAAATAATATATTATGACATGACAATTGTTTCGACAACACCGTGTCTTTATCAAATGTTGGATGGATATTTGATAAAGACACGGTGTTGTCAAAACAATTGTCATCTCAAAATATATGATTTCGTGAAAATCTGAACTTTCAGTTCTTATTTATTTTTAAAGGTACGGTTATTCGGGAATTATTGTGAGATTATGTATTGGGATAGGATAACCACTGTTTTAATTTGATCAGGTCTTGTTATGGAGTTATGGAGGACGTTTAGCATTGCCAATGAAATTGCTGTTTCTAGATTATTTGGCATATGTTGAATTATTTGAAGTTGCATTAATAAGTTGTCAATTAAATTTGAAAGTGAGAATGCCTTTTCTAAATTTATAATTTCGTTGAATTCTTTCGACAAGTATTTTATTTGTCCTTCTAAAATAATCTGATCTTCATTTAATCTCTGAAATTTATTACTGTATGTTTTCGAAATTTGATTGATCAGGCTTTGTTGCTTTACCAGGTCGTTTTCAATTTTTTTTTGATTTGTTTGATTGGAATGTTGTTAGATGTTTATCGTTCTCAGCATCTAATTTGCCAAATAACCATTTTTGGACTTTTTCTACTACATTAATTAGTCCTTGTTTAGATCTACTCGTTTTGAAAAATGAATGAATTTTATTAATCATGGTTTCGGTTAGCAGTTTTGCGTTTATTATTGTTCCTTTTGCTATTTGGATTGTAAAGAGTGGCATAATGAATTTCTATATGCTGTGTTTTGCATAGTCCTTGAACTACTTCGTTTTTCCATTCCCTTCCGTTATCCGTCGTAATACGCCTAGGGAGACTGAAGTGATTAAAATTTTATAGTACTATGTTTCTTATCTCTATGGCATTTAATAAATCAATAGGGTAAGCTTCACCAAGTTTTGAAAAACTATCTAAAATTGTAACGAAGTAACGTCCATCTGTTTTATATGTATCAGCATTGATGTGATCAAATGGTTCGTATCCTAAAGTCGTTGGTTTGGTTGATAGGGTGTCTTTCGTATTTTGTTTTCTGGGAGATTTCGCATGTATTTAAATAGTCTCTTACGCCTTGATCTATTTTGGACCAGCAATAAATTCGTTTTATCTCTTTTAAATTTTCTTGAATAACGCGTTGGCTTTTTTTTATTTCGTGGTATTGTTGTAGTTTCAATTTTTGTTCGTCTTCGTGTGTTATATCCAATAGTAATAGGTTAGACATTATTAAATTGTATGAACTATTATTAAAATATTTTTGAATGGTCGTAGTAAACATTGGTTCTAGAGATTTATCTTTGAAATAGATACAACATCTTTAAATTCAATTAGATCAATTTTAATTCGGGAAGGAGCGTCAGCGTTGGTATTTAGTTTACCTTTTTTACAAATGATATCGTAGTATATATATATATATATATATATATATATATATATATATATATATATATATATATATATATATATATATATATATATATATATATATATATATATATATATATATATATATATATATATATATATATATATATATATATATATATATATATATATATATATATATATATATATATATATATATGAGTTTTAGTCGCCAACGGACTAATTTGGAGTTAGGATCTTTCGTAGAAAATAGATGCTGAAGGGGTTTGTGGTCGGTGATGATTTTGAATTTTGTACCGAAGAGATACGGTCTAAAGGATCTAAAGTACTTAACAGCCCATACGATTGCTAGAAGCTCGTTCTCTACCGTGCTATAATTAGCTTCTGCTGGATTTAGCTTTCGCCTATAGGACCTTTGATTGAACGGTTTGGACAAATCGGGGTATTCTATGATCGAGTCATCCATTAGAATATTAAGGCATGAATGAAACGAGTTAAGAAATTCCGCAGTGTGTTCTATTTTTTGGTTTTTCTTTAGTTAATGGCTTACTTAATTTGGCGATTTTTTTTATAAACTTTCGATAGTAACCAATTAAACCTTAAAATGATTTTATTTCCTTGGGAGTGGTTGGGTCGGGGAATTGCTCGATAGTCTTTGGTTTCTTTGGTTTAGGTTTGATAACTTCTGGAATGATGACGTGTCCACAGTTTTGCAGAGGATTTTCAAACCTGCGTCTTTTAATAGTTGGAACCATTCAACTAAGTTATTAATGTGTTCCCTGAAGGTTTTTTAAGACGTGTTCCATTACACTTTGGAAACTGCCGGTGCGTTTTTAAGATCGAAGGGCACTCGAACGTATTCGTAATATCCATTTTCGACATTAAAGGCGGTTTTGGGAATGAAATCTGGCTGCAAAAACATTTTTTGGTTTACGGAAGACTTGGGCATCTGTAAAGAATTTTTGTGGAGCCTATCGAGATTCTATGAGAATTGGTTGGCTAAGGAATGCTGGTTTTTGGTAATTTTGGAATGGTACCGGATAGGAAGAATTATTTGAAATTTAATTTTGATTTGCACTGTTATTAGTTTTGTTGATGTGGTTGATGGGTTGTTTAAAATTATTATGATTTGTTGTTCAAAAGGTGAGTGATTAATTACTAAGGAGGTTGCTTCGTCAATATTTTTGGTTGCCTCAGCATGAGTAATGTTCTCAGCTCTGAATTGGCATTAGAGATTATTACGTTTCGTTTCGTTTTGACTTATTAGTGCTAGTTTGGTGGGTGCGTCTTCTAATCTCATAGTGATGATATAAGACATTTATTCTCTTTTATTTTATTTTTCTATATAGCCTCCTTGTAGCTCTGTACACTTCTTCCAGCGATGCCCCTATCTCCCTAATCTTCCCAAATAGTGCTAAGCGTTTTTCTCCTCAAAATAATTGTTCGCGAAGGTGATTGCTTCCCCATTTGAAGAAAATCTTTTTCCTCCGAGCGCAATTTCATATGACGCTGCAACAAGAAGTGACTTGAGGCTTGATCTGGTGAGTAAGGCGGGCGATCAAGCAGTTCAAACCGTAATTCGTGGGTTTTCGCTATGGAAACCGGTGAGGTATGAGACGGCGCGTTGTCTTGGTGATTTTTTTAAAAATGCGGCTGTTTTTCCGCAATTTCTGTCCTCAGCTTGTGAAGTATTGATGCGTTGTATGCTTCTGTTATGACTTTCTTCTGGTTCCTAAAAAACAGTCGTCGTCACCTTCCCATCCGAAAAAACAGTTTTTGCTTTTTTCGGAGTCTTGATTTAAAATGTGACAAACACGTTCTTCTGACATTTTCATAACCTCTGCTATCTCTCGCACTTTAGATGGAAGGTCGTTTGATGAACTTTAGCGAGTTCTCATACACAGAGTCCAACTCAACTTTAATTTAAGTAGGCGTATTGCCTTTCAAAAACAAATATTTTATAACAGCTCTATACTCCATTTTCACGAAAACACTCACATTGACTTCTCAAACGACTCTGAACTAAGAAGCAACGTTCAAAATAGCTGAAACTTGGGTAATTGCACAACTGAGAAATTACTAGTTTTTAGGAAGTAGTGCTGTCATCTTCAACAAACCTTAACCTCGACTTTTTACCCTTCACCGATATGGGAATCAGTCATCCGAAACAGTGTTCACGCTCCTCCTTTAGCTTCGCCCCTCTCAAATAATATATAAGCAGGTACAGAATAGAACGTGAGCCAGTTAGTAGTACTAAAACATATATTTAAATTTTGAATTACAGCGCATGGATCTTTATCGGTCGAATTTGTGTAATGTTTACTCTTGTTGACCATACAGTGCGGTAAGGTGAACTCTCAGTGGCATGCACCACAAGGGTTCGAAAAATTGGAAAAAAAAAAGTTTCACAATTAATTCGTTGTTTATTTATAAAATTACATGTTGCAACAAAAAAATCTTAACTTAAGTCTTCCTCTCTATAAAATACGAACCCAAGCAAGGTTGCAGACAAATCCGCAACGTTACTCATACCTAACCTACGGAATGATGGTACAATAATTAATCCTTAGGGGTGAAATAAATAAATTATGCCTACGACTAAAAAAAATTAAGTATGGTTGACAATCAAGGTAACGAACGTGATAACGATGCAAACGGTAAAATATTGTCAAAATGGTAAAAAAAACGCGAACAAAAAAAAATGACGGATGATAACATGCTTGACTAGCGTTTGTACTTAAGGTCTATCGACAGTCTAATACTACAATTGGTGATTCGTGAACACTTTTAACCCACAGCCGATCGTAATCGGAGATCTGTCATCGCTGTTATCGTTAAGTACTGTGTCCGGGCAACTGTAATAGGAACTAAACTCAGACCGTGCTCTCGCACCATCGACGTTCAATGGCTGCCGGCCGGTCTCAGGTTGGAGTCTTCGTCGCCCATCGGTCTCGGTTTGAGGCACACCTTAAACGCCGTGGGGTTTATCGTGACGCCGGAGATACCCTTGAGGCTGGGCAAGGTCTCTCCTTCAGGTACGCGGACGTGAAAGCGATGGAGCAGCGACGAGAAGAACATAAAAATCTCCATCCTAGCCAGAACTTCACCCAGACACATCCTCCTCCCCACTCCGAACGGCAGAAAGTATTCGGGCTTTTGCACTTTGCCCTCGTTGTTTATGAAACGGGTGGGGTCGAATTTTTCGGGCTCGTGCCACAGTTCTGGGTCCATGTGGATGGCGTGGAGCAGAGGTACGACTTGTGCGTGTTGCGGCAGGTGGAATCCGTTTAGTTGGATATCTCTGTAACAAGGAGAAAATTGGTTAGCACTTCGTGCGTATGGTTAATTATTGAGTTGCAGGAAACTGCGCATATCGAATTTAGTAAGGTCTCATAAACTCAAAATTTTATTTCTACTAATTGCGGAGCGACAATAACACCCCCTTAAAGTAAAAAGTGCCGGAACGCTTAAATATCTTCAAAACTCAACTCAAAATTCAACACCAGGAGGTATTTTAACCTGCATAATTAAAAAACTCTAACAGCAACGTTGTCAGATTTACCAATTTACCAATTTACCAATTTTTCATAGAAAAGTTTCGTAACTCTATCAGTCTTAGATTTAAAGCAGTATTTAAGAAATTCAAGGTATTGTTTTATGTTTTTTAAATACGGGTTTTTAAAAGGTGAAACGGTGCGGAGTAAACAATAATAAGTAATAATAATTTTTGTAATAGTAATTAAAAAAACTTCAAATAAGATGTTGTAATTTTATAATATTTTGGTGTCTAAAGTTTGCGTATTAAGTAACCAATATTTATTATTGGTGTATTGCTAAGTTCAATTTCGTTATCAATTGACGAGATGATTCCATTTTTAGCTTATTTTTGTCTCAATTGAAAAAAGCCAAGATGTTCAAAACTATTAGCTGTGATTGCTGATTATATCTTGGAGGCATCTTGGAAAAGTTAATAAAGAGTCACAACAGACCCGTGTCAATTTTGACGAATATATTCTTAAAGAGACATAACCAAAACCAAAACCGGCATTCACAGTTATAAAGACACGACGATGTTTTTTTCTTGAAATTTTGTCAGTTGACATACATTAAAAAAATATATTCAAAAATTACGTCATTCCAGAAAGGGTAATGCGCCAACTTCTCACCTCCAGTTTAAGAATTACGCATTCTTTATGAATCACCCAGTATATGCGAGGTTTAAATTCGCGATGTTCTTTGGTTCCAGAACTGACTTAAAGATTAGTGACTTGTCTTTCAAAAATTGGTCAGAAATTCAGCATTTTGATAATGTAATGTAAATGAATTTAATTTTAAGCACAGTAAATGATTTAACGATATATTTATATTAACAACGCCGTTCTGATTTTGTTTAGAGTTTTATTACTAATCTTACCTTATTGTAATAAAAATGGCCCTAGATGATCGAATATCCTTCTACATAAGTATTTTTACATGTCGCGTTATGATTTAGAATGGGTTTTAGCAAAATGTTTTCAATAATTTGTTTCTTGCTTGATGTTATGAACTGGAATATGTGAAAGTGCTTAGAAGCAGAGTATCTGATTTAAAAGCCAGTTTTCTATGACCACCCGTTTATTTTTAATTTTCGTTACATACCGATTTTTTTCTGAATATAGAGGAATGCGACTAGAATTTTTTTATCGGGTCCTCAGTAGGGCAAATAATTGCTTTATATTATATTTACGGCCGGCTGGGGTTACGTAAAATCGAATTTTGAGGAGTCAAATGCCTCGTCTGCGATTGCGTAAACACAACAACTGTACCTGCGCGTACATTAACGAGTCTTTTTGCGTATAGTTACGAAATTAATTTGAGAAATCGTCGCCACTGCTACCCGGGGTTCATTGACCGAAAAATACAAACGAATTTTAGGCTCACCGGGACTTTCACTTTTTTCTCAGGTGCGAATTTGAAGCCGAACGACGGCTGCTTTGAAGGTTGTGCGTTTTTATTCATCGGAAGATTTTCGCATCTTGTCTTTGCGATCACAAACCGAGTTTGATGTTTTATCACAAAATTCGACAACAGTTGGGGATGAAACAGTAGTGCATAAAGTTGGTTTTCAAACATTTTTGCGGCTCGTTCACCAAAGTTTACTTGGGGACAGTTTTGGGACCTTTGTTCATTCTTATATGTAGAAACGATATTGTAAATATTTTAGATGATAGTAAAGCGGTCCTATTTGCGGATGACACAATGATTTTTATTATGGGTGAGAAATTTTGAAGTAACATTTATATTAAGAACAAAAACCTAATTCGTGAATACGACATTAGAGTGCAATATTTGAGAATTGACAATTTGTTCCACACTTGTGTTCAATTTGTCAAATTATGAATTAGAGCAATTTCAGATTCTTCAAAATAGGACCATGAGAAATATACTAAGTTATAACAGATATACGCCAATTCAAAGCATGTTGAGTGTACTTAGTCTCTTGTCTGTAAAACACAAAGTAATATTTAATGTATTTATTTTAAAAAACAAACAGCAGTGTGCTCCTGATTATGTTTGTGAAAAAGTTACCTATTTCGAACTACCTATTTCGTACTTACAATACAAGAAATTGTGGTAATTTTATGCTGACAGAATGTTATTCTAGTCATGTACAAAACTCCGTATTACATTTTTAATATATTACACAAGAAGTGTGGTAAACGGCGTTTGAGTCGAAACGAGCCTATTTGACACGAGCGGAAAGCAGCGGCGTGAGTGTAGTAGTATAGTATGCAACACATTTGGTAAACGTTTCAAGCCACTTATTTCTGCTGCTCGTGCCAAATAAATTCTTGACTTAAATGCCGTTTACTACACTTGTTGCATAATATACTATTAAGACATCATGTATGATCCAAATTTTGATTTGCGTGCTTAGCTCTTAATTGCAGTTTACTTTTTTATATTTAAAATTTCTATTTTAAATTTTTATGTAGCATAATACTAAATACAGATATATTATTATTAATAAAAATATTTGAAAATAAAAGTATTTCAAGAAAAAATTGTGCATTTAAATTTGTTCTCTGTTAATTGATTAATAATATATTTGTTATTTTGGGGTACTTCCATCTAATTTCTTTAGAATACTCGAAGCTGGTTTACAACAATTTTTGTTAGTTTTCCTAAAACAGCAATTCGTCTAAAGTACCAAATTTTCAAAATAAAAAACTCAGGCATGCTACTGAAGTGACCAATAGAGAAATACCAACATGGAAAAGATAATGTTTACCTGGTAGGCGCATGCGTGGTACCCATAGGAACTATACTGGATATTCTCAACACTTCCATCATTGTCGATTCGGTAACTGGTAAGTAGGCGAGATCCTCCAGCTTGGGTAACCTGTGGCGACCGACCACCTGATCGAGCTCTTCCTGCACCAGGCGCATCTGCTCCGGGTTGTGCAGCATGAACAAAACAGCCCACTGCAGGGAGCTCTTGATCGTTTCCATGCCCGCAGAAAAGATGTCTCCCAACACCTGCTGCATTTGGCGATCTGGAAAGAACCGACCTTTCTAGCATCGTTCCGATTTATGGCCCGCGGTGAAAATGACTTACCGTGATCTTTGCCCTCGAACAAGTGATGTCCAACACCTTCCTCGTTGGCCTTTTCAATTTCGTACAAGTACGTGTCCAAAAGGTCACGGAGATGACTGGGGTCGAAAGATTTTCTGTGCTCGTCGATCGTCTCCTGCAAGAATTGAGCCATGGCCTCGCGATTCTGTAAATGAAAACTATTGTTTAGATCTGATTAGAAATATGGATTTGGAAGCGATTTTTGAAATACTATTATTAATTGCGCTTTTTTAGATTTGTCATAAGATATTTTGGAAAAGCTAATACTATCATCAATCATGTATTTTAAATTCACTTCCTTAATTTGAAAACACAATTTAGGAGTTAACAATTATTTGAACCTTTACAGAAATTAGATAAAAATAGGGTCTCCAAATAGTGTGTCAAAAAATATATTCTTTGGTTTAGAAATTTTGTTTATTACAAAAGTCATAGGTATGGTTAAACGAAACAATTTAAAGTTATTTTCAAATATACAGAGTGATTTATAAATATGTGGTAAACCGAACTAATCTTTTTTAAATGGAACACCCTGTTTATTTTTTTAGGTGTACATATTCTTACGAGTAAAACTACGAAAATTTGTCCAATAATGAAAAAATATCGCAATGAGGGAAGAAAAATAATAATACGTAGGTAAATTTTTAGATTTGTAAAAAAAAATGTTTTCCTTCATTCCACTAATTTAGAAATTCTGTCCAAAATATATGGAACTATAAATGTTTTCAGATTGCGACTTTTAGTGCAAATATTAGTTGGCCATGCAAATAAAAATTTACTTGAAACCTGTCAATTTTGTATTAGTTTTCTTAGTTAATTTATTACTGGTTCCTTAATTTGCAACTCAACCATGAATTTTTCTATGGAAGAAGTGGTCGACATGGTTTTAGTAATGGGATGTGGCGAGAAGAATGCATTATTAGCTATGAGAATTTACAAGCAACAATATTCTGATAGAAGGCAGCTCTCGAAAAGAACTCTTAAGAATTTCATGAATCGTTTTACTCGATTTGGAAGAGTTGCTTAAGAAAGAAAGAATCGAGAGTGTAGGAAAAGGAATTTCATATGTTGCTAAGTGTCACAGAAAACCCACATGTACGACAAATTTCCCAGGACTTAATTATTTCTATGAATAATATTTTGCGAAAAAATAATATGCATCCTTTTCAAGAACTCAGTGAAAATTATTACAAAATTAGATAAACATTCTGGGACTTGGCACAAGAACGAATTTTTGAGCAAGATGTTTTTTTTCGAATATGTGTTATTTATAGATAAATCGACAGTTAATACGCCAACAATATACCCAATTTTATAGCGACACACAATTAGGAAAAATGGTCTTTATATATTTGGGCTAGTATAATAGGAAATTACGTTGTAGGGACTATTTTTTTATGCTTAGGCATTCCAAATGAGGTGAGGGAGACCAAACCAGACCAGTTGTCTAAAATGACTCGCACAACAAAAGATCACGAGACAGAGAATAAGAAAAGAAATACTGCCAAATCTTTTGAAAACCATGTTAGATCGCGTATCGCGTATCGAAGTCGGTGGGAGACATTTCAAGTAATAAATAAAATGAGACTTAATTAAAATTGAGCAGTTCATTTTTTTTTGTTTAATTCTCGGATTGAATAAATTATTTCCCCATTTCATAGTGCATTAACATGTAACGAATAAAGAAATTATATTGAATTGGTGTCTGTAGACTTCTATTAATACCCAAATATACAGGGTATGTCATTAAAAAAATATTGTGGTTTGGTTTCCCGCGTATTTATGAATCACATTATATATATATATATATATATATATATATATATATATATATATATATATATATATATATATATATATATATATATATATATATATATATACAAATAATTTTAAATTGCTTCTATTAGTCTCATCTACAACTTTAGTATTTAACATTTTTCTCCAAAACCAATAATAAACGAAATTGCTTTATTACACTATTTGTACACCACGTAGCACTAACGGAAAAATTACAAACTTACCTTGGCAATTTTCCCGAGTGTTTCCCTGTGTCCGGGCAGATATTTCAAGATAGGTATGAAAAGTGCCGCCTCCAACGACCCGAACAGCTTGAAGCCCTCTTCAATCAGTTCCATCAACTGGGTGAATCTTTGGTCGTCGTGCGAAAATTTCGTCGACATCAAAACGCCGCATATGACGTTGGAAATGGAGACCGCCAATATGGGATTGAGGTCGACCGGCTGGCCGTTTTTCGCGTTAAGCACTTTGAGGAAGTCCTCCACTTCGTTGGCTATGCGAGTCTCCATTCGGATCTTCCGCGAGCCGAGGTAGGACATGCCGAAATGACGCAAGCCGTCGTGGAGGAATCGACGTTGGTCTTTCCACAATTTTCCGGCGACGTTCAAGACGCCTGCAGAGGAAGCGAAAACGACGTTGATTAAGTATTTCTGGCGGCCTTCATATTAGTTCGTTTTAAGGTATAAAAGTTACTTAAATAAAAAAAACCTTTAAAGTGCCAACTATTTCTAAAATCAAAGCAAGCAAAGTGTTAAATATAGAATATTGCAAAAGTTAAATTTTAGTTTGTGCAAAATTTTACCAAATGTTCCTTATCACGCTATCGAACCAAGCCGTTTTTAGCTTTATTTAAAGAGATATAAAAAAAATAAAGGTCACTTCTTCGTTAAATGATTTTAAGTTCAATGTTTCGTTTCGGCCAAATCATCATCCATATGACCCGTGAAAAAATTACACCACGTATTAAATAGTTTTATTTTATTACGAATACAACGATGTACACTAGACAATATCACAAAATCACAAAAAAGGCATTTTATTAAATTTTCAATGTTTTGAAAAAATTATAAATAATTTTCAAACAAGTGGCGAATTTAAAACATTTCTCTATGTTTCAGCTGTAACGTTTTGAAAGGGTTCAAAAACTAGTTTTTTCAGTTGACCCTCAAGTCTGAAAGGCATAATTTATAATTATTATTATTGATATTATCATCTTATCATTATCATTATTTTGCATATGGTAACTCCACACTGTCTTATGATATTGTCGCTTGAGGTAACAGTGTGCATGATTATCCAGGACCGAATCATAATAACAACAACATTTCTACAAAGAGCAACTTCTCCTGTTTCCTGTTACCTCTTCAGGTTGCTAAAGATACTTACTGTAATTTCATTTTATGTTTTGCATTGTTACACCTATGTAAGAAAGAATATGTCTGTTAAAGTTGACAGTTATGTCACTAGATCATTTCAGAACTTGCGAGTTCCACGGCACGGGTTGATTGGTATCATGAACAGGAACTAAGTAACGCTTATTAAAATTTATATCACTTGCTCGACTCTGTTAGACTTACTACCAACGAAAGCAAATTTTGAAAACTCACTAAAAAACTATTGGGTAAAACAATATACTCCTTGAAGGACAACAGAACAATAGGGAGATTGGGTGAAGTAAAGGAAATTTTATGTTGTATATTGCGTCTTATTATATATTTATTATTATTATTATTATTATAATTATTATATATATTGTGTCGGTAATACTCCTTGAAGGAGTTCTTTCACAGCAATTGGGGGAATGCCGAGCATATGTTTAATTAAAGGAAATTTTATATTGTATATTTTGTCTTATTAGATAATGTTTCTGTAGTTGTATTCATTTGTAGGCCTTTTGACGAAACATATGCAGCTTTTTTAGAAGTCAATATTGTTGCGACTTTAAATAAATAAATAAATAATTAAATAAGTCTTTAAATTTTTCAAACTGTTCTGTAGTCGAACCATCTTGGTTTTCATTCTTATTGCACTTATGATACATATTACATTTAAAATTTAAAAACTCACCAAAAAAAGGTAATTTTATATTGTATATTGTCTTATCATGTATTGTTTCCGATTTTTTTTGTAGTTTAACCATTACATTCTTATTTTTTTGGAAAATTAGAAGGAAATATATTGGCGAAACTCTCCCTTAAAATACTGTCTCTTTTAAATTTTATATATTTACATGTGGAAAATAACTTTCCACAGTTGTTTCATCTTTTAAACAGGAAGCGGCTAATAAGGAATGTAGCTATCTATCCACTCTATCCACTCTGTTACCAACGAAAGCAAATTTAAAACTCGTTAAAATATTTATTATTGAGTAAAACAATATAATCCTCGGAGGAGTTGTATTGTGTTCATTTGTATTTCTTTGTAGGCCTTTTGACGAAACATATGTACCTTTTTGAATGTCTATGTTGCTGTGTATTTGATTAAATAAATAAATAAATAAACAAATCTTCGGAAGTGATAGGATTTTTTTAGTGTTCTCGACAGTACATTATTAACCCTCAATTTACGCAAATTATTTTGAAATTGAATCAATTTCATAGAGATTTTAATTTTGGACACACTGTATTTACTTTATTATTTTGTTTTCGTTCTTTTTTTTACAATGTGCTTTTCAAACCCAAATAGATGGTCGAAACTTTCCCCTAAGTCACACGAAATGAATTATAAAAGGAAACAAAAATTTTCAAAATTTTGTGTACAAACAAACACTTGGTGCGGAGAAACCGCCTCGAGTAACAAAAGTAAACACTTGTGCGTAACACTTATAGTGAAACGGATCGATTGTTCGTAAACGAGGCAAGAGATAAAAATAAAAAATTTTGCAATCTGCCTCCACGCATCTCCCAAAACTGGGTTACTAGTGGCGTCGACGGCACCGCGATAACTTATCACTGATCACTTTTACTCGCCCGATGAACCGCAGAAGGTCGTCGCCCAGAGAAAATGTGTCACGCCATTTTGCTCGATACGTTTTTCCCTATCTTACTCCAAAGGAAATCAGCAGGTTTTTCCACGCATTCTAGAGATGTTATATTCACATTAGGTCAAGGATCAATTTTAGGACCTCCTCTTTGGCCAAATAACCATTCTCTCAAGATAACAGCCAAAAAAACTAATTTAGTGATCTTTGCAACAAAAAAAAGGTGATAACGTAAGTATACGTCTCGTCCCACAAGCTAGAAACCTTGGATTGACATAAGCAATCGTGTTAAAACGGCACACGTGAATCTGAACCAAATGTGTCAGGTGCGTTAATATTCAAGTAAAAAAATTAAAAAAAAAATTGCCTGCGAATCTTTAGTATTGTCAAGGTTTAACTAAGGCGATGTTATTTATGGATCGTGCTTAGATTCCTCAGGCATACGGAGAAGTCAGGTAGTGCAAGATTAGTGTCTCAGACTCATTTGTGATATCAGACGAAGACAACATATTTCTCAAAAACGTCTTATCGTTATCGTCTTTTTAAATAATATTCTTTTAGCTTTCTACTTAGCATTAAAGACGTGAACACCATTTCCAAACAAGTGTTTGTGCATACGAGTTGTCCGCTCATATTTCTTATTGAAATGGTCCTTTGGTCTAACGTCATAACTCTGCTGTTCACTTCTTTGGGTTCAGTAGTTTTGGTTTTGGTTCAAATCGTATTAAAAAAAAATCCAACCTCTGTGTACAACAAGATTTTGAATCGTAATAACCTTGACAGGTTCAGAATTCCTAGACGAACGCTAACAAAATTTTTTAAAACATCGTTTTCGTTTCAAATTGATAAAGTGTTCATCCAAGCAGAAAACGTTGTCACAGTTCGAAAAAACTTAGATGACTCTCCCTCATCAGTGTTCATCAACTGCAGAACAGTAATCAGTGATAAAAAAATAAATAAACAAAATTAAAAAGTAGCATTAAGTGATAAACACCTATTTATTTATTTATTTATTATCGAAAGTTCAAACGACGGTGATTAAAAAATATTGATTAAAAAATAATGATTTTTAACCAATTTTTTATCTTGAAACATTAACTCGTCAGAAGTTGAAAGTACAGACTGGAGCTCGATATTTGTGAATAGTTCTTTAATGTTTTGTTAGATAACATTTTCAATATTTTTGGGAAAAAAATCCAATTTTCATCAATGGAGCGATGGATTAGGATAAATTTTACATTTGGAAAGTTCGAAACATATATACATAAATATACAGATTGCACACATCCCTATACTGGCACTTACCGTAGCCTTCCAGCAAGTTGGTAGTTTCGGTGGTAGGTCGGCCCGTGAATTCTTCCTTGCGAAACGCGTCCCTTATCAGCTTGTAGTCGCTCAGAACGACGATGAGCTGCGAGCCGAGTCTGGTGGAGATGAGGGACCCATAACGATAGGTCAGGTCCCTGAAGTGAAGATGTAAATCGCCCTTAAGCGACAGCAACGAGCCAAACACCGGTAACCCCCAAGGTCCGGGTGGCAAACTGGCGTTTTCTCGTAGGATTTGGAGGCCGCGTACCAACGTCAAAACACCGACGAACACGAACAGGATTTTGGTGGATAGTTCGTCGACTAGGACGTTCCACAACACTGACGCGCTATATACGAACATTGCGATTCGGTATGGTTTTTTTTTTTCTAGTACTCGACCGTTGGGCGATATATCTATTGGTGCGCGATCGGTGGTACTCATTGCTTTTATACATCACTCTACTACCGGCTCTGATTGCGGCGGAGGGGAGCGAGTACGGCGTTTTTTTAGGAGGAGCGATGCCGCCACCAATAGGTGGCCGCTACTCGTCTCCTACCAATAGACTTGCGTCCGGTACGATTCATTCACTTGTCGCGATCAGTCGACACGACGCTGCGGTGGAAGTTCGTGCTGATGCGTTTCGGGTCTGTCCATGCGTGTGGGTGCGCATGTGTGTGTGTGGCTGTGTGTGTGTGAGAGAGATCTAACATTTCGAGGTCAAGGTTAGACGCGATCAATTCTCCGGGAGTTTGCTTTATTCCCGACACACGATAAATGGTTATGCCTGTAATAACGCTAATAAGGTTTCTATCAGCTCGTTCGTATTTTTGGGCCTTTAAATCAAACCGGTCCCCCGTGGTAGTAAGGAAATTAAAACACAAAATGAACTCCTGGGCCTTTTTTTTGAATGATCTGTTTTGCATTTTAGGTTGGTTCCTTGACAGTGTCAGTGTTATTTCGAAAATTCGTATCACCCTTTCGACTATACTAGCAGCCGAAACATATAGCATTAGAAGGTAGCTCCATCTTTCCAGAACATTTTCTTTTTTGGTTTCTTTCATTATCTCTGCTATTAAAGGAGACGCCGTTATATAACGTAACATGTTTTTCTACATTTTATGATTCAATGCATTCATGGTTAAATGTTTCCAAGTGTAGGCTATCGAATTTTTCCGACATTTTAAATGACGCACAGTGGTCCCGTCTTATGGTACATGCGGTCATGGAATTCTCGGGCTAATGGGATATTTTAAATATTTTTAAACTTTAATATAAATAAAAAACTATTTATTTTTAAAAAGTAAAATTTGATTAACAGCAGGAAACATACCTTCAAAAAAAATCACATTATTTTAATAAAACACATACGAGTGAAAACTAAACTAATATGGTACAATTAAGTCTAAAGAATCATTATAAATTGTTCCTGAACTCTCATTATGGCTATGCGTATGGCTAATTACACCCGAATTGAAATTAAATAGAATTTATAATTTTATAATGAGTCTTGTAATAAAACTGAAAGACTTATTACAAATAATCATTTATGGCTGTTAATTTCAGAAGTAAAATTCACTATAAAAAGATTCTTTGTATCATTAAAAAGAGGGGTACGGGCTTACCATTTTATAATGAGTTGTCGTGTTGCTTGATTTAACTGTTATTCTAACTCTAATAAATCAAAAACTTTAGGGAATAAATAGGACTTACTGCTTTTAGGTAATTTTCTTAAACTAGAAATAAAAGGCTCGCAATTTAAAAGCATTAGATGACAAAACGTCTTTTTGAAGAATTCGTATAGCCATGTGATTCAGAAGTGACTGCAGTTCAACTTCTGCAGATGTCTTTGACACTTTTTCATCCTAAGGATAGCACTTTTCCTTTGATTCCAGAACTTTGTGATAGGAAGGAAAGACATTTGAGGCCATTTTTGAACTAACAAAATCTTTAGTTTATGTATTATGAGGTCTGGTAAACTTAGCTTCAAAAAAAATCGAGAGTATTTCGTCTGCATGGATCTGCAAACTAGAGGTTTTGGACTGATCTTCTTTTAAATATTTAATTGCAGAACTATCTACTTTAGATAACTCCGACAATCTTCGATGTTTAGATCGTTCACTACATTCTTCAAATTCCTTCAAAAATCTTTTTCGCTTGCTTGTTGACGGCTCTTGATCGTCGAGGACCTGCTGGATTTCTGCCACTTCATCCAGCAGAATAGGTTGGGCAAGCGGAAGTTCACAAACCTCTCCCATCTTGAGCCATTCCTGGTGCTTAGCTACTAGCTTTGATCTAGAACTAGAGTTTACCTCCAATACTCACTGAACTTCCTACAAAGATAGGTACACGGTTTTCCAAGTTGGTAGTCTCGATCTCTCTATTGGGCAAGTAGCTGTCAACTCAGCTAAGATTTTTGTCTGCTTTCTTGGCTAACCAAATATTAAAAAGGTCCATCCTGGTGAAGGTGCATTTGACTATTTCATCTGCAAGAAAAAAAAATAACCCTACGTTTTTTTGTGTACATTTTCTTTGATGTATTTTTTTAGTGTAAAATTGATAAAAACAAAAGATAACAAAGTAAACAACTTTAATAAATCGGGGCCCAAAAGTGCAAAAAATAGCATATGTACCAGGTGAGTAAAGTTTGTTTTGTCTCTCGGCGAATTGTAGCCCGAGCCTCGGGATACACAGTGACATTGTAGTCCCTAGAAATATAATGCACTATAACAAAAAAAAAGATATAAATAATTTTTTTAACAAAACGTTACGTTGATATTGCTATTGGAAAATACGTGCACTTAAAGCTAATCATGAAGGGATAAAAATCTAACTGTTTTTGACACATCCGGCGACATTTGCCGCATCTTACTCGGTTTTAAAGTAGAGGTTCCAAGCATTTCATCAAGGTATATTACTTGTGAGTTATCGAGAGGTAAAACATTTGGAAGTTTACATGTATTAACTTAAAAAAAAAAACTATAAAAGTGGCAATGGTGGGACATTAAAAAAAAAAGAGAAATATATATATTAATAAATACTTTGAACAGCAATATCCGTTATGGCACCACTCGTTTATACAGTTTTTAGTGCGAAACTATATAAATCCAGGTAGAAACACACACGAAAAAGTTCACTGACCTCCGTAATACAAAAGGTGCACAATTATGTTTTTTTACGATTTTATTTTATAATAATCATAATTAGATATTTCTGAGAAACTTAACGAGTTTTTAAAGCAAAATAAAATTATGACCTTTTTACTCTCACGTTTACGCATATCAGAAAAATTGAGACTATTCTCGTTTCATCAGAAAATAAAATCGCCTTCCAATCATGAATACTCCAATGTTGATAATTTCTGGCAACACACAATCGTGTGTTCTCTGGCGAGCAATTGTTTTTTGCCGGCTTTCTGCTGCTTAAACCAACCTCATTTGAACGTCTTTTAATTGTCCGAGACGATATTGTATGATGGCGAACAGTTTTAAGTTCAGTTTTTAGCCCAGTACTAGTGACCTTTCTATTTATCAGTTTGCCGAGTAAATCGCTCAATCCTTGGATCGGTACATCGTTTTCGTCCTTGTACTAGTCTTCAACAGTAAGATCGTGTCTCCTTAAATCGTTCAACCATACGACTTATATTCGAACGATATCTTCCTATCACACTAGCAAAATGACAATTTTTTGGTCGATTCATTTTTCAAGAATATTATAATCATAAATGGTAGATGGGCCAACGAAAGGAAGCAGTTTCTGATCAGTTTTTATCAGTACGACGAATTTTATTTGAATTTTGTTAATTTAAAACACAATATCTGTTGACAAATCGCTTGAAATATGAGAAAAATTCCAGAGCCTACATTAACAATAACTATGCTGAATAATAAAGTCTACAAAAACACGTTACGTTATAAAATTGTGTATCTTTCTGAGTAACAGAGATAATCAAGTAAACCAAAACAGAAAACGTTGGCGAAAGATGGAGTTACCTTCCAATGTCGACTGCTATATGTTTTGGTTGCTGGTATACTCCACAGGGTAATACGAATTTTCGGAAAAACATATTTTTATTACACGTTATTAAAGTCAAAAATATGACACTGTCAAACAACCAACCTACAATGCAAAAAAAAGTCACTTAAATCGGATCATAAATTCAGAAAAAAAAATAGCACAAAAAATGTGGCAAATTTATGGATGTTGCGTTAATTTTGTTCAGGAGTTTATATCTTGTATTGCGCACTCCATAGCTGTAATTTTATAAATGATAGGGAAATACCGTTTATTGACACATATAAATACAGATAGTAGTTCTGAAGTCGAACAAAAACAAATCTTAAAATATTTAGCACAAAAACACAAAAAAACTGAACATAGGAAATCAAATGAAAATTTTTATGTGGCCACATGTTGGCTCTACGGTACATTTTATAGCAAAGTTACTTTTTGAAGGGGCCCGGATGATTAACTCATGGCCGAGGTTGAATAAATTTTAGTAAGGCAATCTTCAGTTATTGAATTAAACATGATGGCAAAATTGCTAAAACACCAGAGAATATTTTCCATGACGCTATTTCCAAAACTTGGCGACATCAAGCTGGATAATGACATATCAAATAAAGGTGGGTTTACAATAAAGACACATTTAGTTTCGCATATTCAAAATAAACTAAGCATGTTTTTATGTTTTTATGATTATGTTTTTCGGACGATCAAACTCATACTCGGGTCCCAAGATCACATTATCTCTTAAAGCATTCTGGGAATGAATATCATTTAAAGGACGGTTTAAGCAACACGGAAGTTTCAAGGAACCACTTTAAAGTCTTTTGTTAAAAATAATTAATAATTATAAGCAAAATACAGCTACAAAAGAAACATAATTTAATATAAACATTATTGTTTAAGTAAATGTTTAAACAGTTAAACTGTTAACATTGATTCGTTAAAATTGTAAAATCCTGTCATATAAAGAAATATTGTTTTGTAACTGATTAAGATTTTCAAATTTGATATTTTTGTAGTTAACACTCTTCAAGTAACCCCACAGAAAGAAGTCGTTCGGCGAAGAGTTCAGGTGACCTGGGTGCCAAAGGATTCGGCACCTTGAGCCAATAATATTCCCGTTAAAAGTAGTTCCCAAATACTCCCTAACCAAACGGGAGTTGTGCGCGGGACAACCATCCGTTAGGTACCAGATGTTCTGATATTCGTGAACAACTTAAGTCCAAATAGATTTCTGCCGTGAGGTTATAGTCCATAAAAAATATATATGACATCATAATATGATGGCCGCAAATTCCCACCATAACATTTATTTTTTGCGAGTATCGGCTTCGGGTATGAAGAAAACGATATTCATTGTCTTGGCTCCAATACCGACAGTTTTGAATATTTGGTTCATTGTTGAGTATTTTTATCATTAAAACAAATATAT